CCGCTCCCTTTCCCTGACGCCCACATCCTCTCCCAGCTGCAGTCCAGTCTGTGCCCAGCTGCTCCTTTTGCCTTTAGTGCCCAGGGAAACCCCTCTGCTTTTCCCACGGGCAGCTCTTGCTCAGGCTGTGTGCATTGCCTGGGCTTTGGGCGAAGGCTTCCCTCACTCCAGGTCCCTCCCTCCAGAAAGGGGCTTCATTGCTTCTTCCCTGAGGCAGCAGGAAGGGCAGAAAGAAGCCTCAGCCAGGCCTGGGGTTGCCCAGAGAGCACAGACACACCAGTGCAAGCACCAGCCCCTCCAGGAAACAATAGATGCCAACCCAGATGCCTGGGTCCCTGCAGCTGTTCTCGGCCCAGGCTGGTGCAAACCAGCAGTCAGTGCAGGCCTGACCCACACAGAGCTGAAGACAAGAAGCTGCTTTCACTTGGGCCTGGTACACATGTGCCTGGGTCTGCGAGGGTCAGTCCAACAGACCTTATAGGGGCTTCAGTGGCCCAGGCCAGCTCTGTTGGGTGGATGAGCCCTGCGGTCCTTATGGATGGAAGAGGCTCTGCAATGAAACCCAGCATGTCCCACTCCTTACATGCACACAATCACAGTCATAGTAAGAAGGAATGGGAGGGACCTGTAAAATCATCAAGTCCAGTCCCCTGCCCTAGGCAGGAGGGAATTGGGCTTAAACAAGCTCCATGAGGTGCTTGTGCAGCCTCCTCTTGAACATCTCCGGGGATGGCCACTGTACTACGTCTGCTGGCAGTGTGCTCCACATTGTAGTTACCTTTACAGAAGAGAAGTTTTTCCCTATGTCTATCCTAAGGTTTTCTCAACTAGCTTGTGCCCATTGGACCTTGCCCTCCCGAGGGGTGACTTGCATGCACAAGCCCAGCCTGTCACCATCCCTTGTGGGTCACATGAGCCTGGACCAGACTGACCATGGGGAGGGCCCGCACTGGGCCAGTCTGCACCCAGATCAGGGTGCGAGATCTCTCACCTGCAGGGATCCCCCAGCCCTGCCCTGATCCTGCCTGGTTGTTGAGAGTGAGCAGGGGCTGTGGGGTGCGGGGGGTGGAGAGTACACACTCTCCCTGGGGAAGTGAGCCAGTCCCTGACAGCTCTGTATATGCTGGGGGTGCCTGGGCATGGCTGTAGCTCACAACAGGGGACAAATCCCTCTGGGAAGAGAAGCAGGGGCAGGAGCTGTCTCTGTTTTCAGCCTGGGTGTTGGGTGGGAGCAGGGGTTGGTGTCCTCAAGTGGGCAAATGTCACAGCCGGTCTGGGGACAGAGCAGGGGGAAGGTGCATTCACACTGGTGCTCTGAACAGACCCCATCCCAGACGGCTCATCTTCCCCAGCCTGCCCTTGCACAAGTGCTGCACGAGTCTCCTGTTCTTTCCCAGGGCTGCATTTCCCCAGGCCCCAAGTGGCCCCGGAGCCCAGGTCCTGTTGGGAGCCATTGGGATTTCTGCTCCTAGGTCACTGCGATGTGTTTGGAAACTGCATCGGGATGTGCAGCTTCTGGCACAACGGAGGCTGGCCAGTGCGGCACTGGGCCACGGGACTGGGATTGTGCAGTGCTCTGGGGGCAGACGGCCCCGGTCCCAGCAGTGTCCCAGGTCCTGTGTACACGGGGTGTCCTTGTCCCAGTGCAGTTCCTCCGGTGGAGACCCCTAGAGCAGAGACACGGCGGGGGGCTGGGACATGTCTTTTGTGCAGCTGAGCCCAGAGGTTTGGGGCAGTCAGTGGGGAAATGCCCCCTCCCCGCTCAACTGCCCCAGACTCACCAGCAATGAGTCCTGTTCTGCGGTGCTTAGTGCCCCTGTCAGTGCTCCCCCTGCCCTTCCCCTCCCCTCCCCACCCCACCCCGTGCGCCCAGCCCCATGCACCGCACTGCCCCT